GAGGGGTTACCAGCCCCTCGCACCCGTCCAGAGCCCCCGTTTAGCCCCTGTGGTAGACACATATGCCATGAGGGGAGGAGCCAATCAAAATTGGATCTCCCCCCACAGCGCTGTCCACGACAGAGTTGCCCGTCCGGCACCGCGAGGAGGTAGGGGGTTGTTTTGCCGGACACACAGACACACACATACAGACACACACACCAGACACACACACAGACACACACACACAGACACACACACCAGACACACACACAGACACACACAGACACACACACAGACACACACAGACACACACACCAGACACACACACACCAGACACACACACAGACACACACACAGACACACACCCACACACACACAGACACACACACCACACACACACACAGACACACACACACACACAGACACACACAGACACACACACACACAGACACACACACACCAGACACACACACACACACAGACACACACAGACACACAGACACACACACAGACACACACACAGACACACACACCAGACACACACACACTCAACACACCACGCATCATCTCCGCACTGCGGCAACCACTGCAGTGCCCCACGCGGCCACAATCCACAGATGGCCACAGACGCCGAGCAAAGCGGCCCCCTGCAATATCGCTGCTCCTCAGCAATAAGATTCACACCTACACAGACAGACAGGTAGTGGGTGGGTGGGTGAGTGGGTGGGTGGGTGAGTGTGTGGGTGAGTGGGTGGGGGGTGAGTGGGTGAGTGGGTGGGTGGGTGAGTGGGTGAGTGGGTGAGTGAGTGGGTGGGTGGGTGCGTGAGTGGGTGAGTGGGTGGGTGGGTGGGTGAGTGGGTGGGTGAGTGGGTGGGTGAGTGGGTGGGTGGGTGAGTGGGCGAGTGGGTGGGTGAGTGAGCGGGTGAGTGGGTGGGTGAGTGGGTGAGTGGGTGGGTGGGTGAGTGGGTGAGTGGGTGGTTGGGTGGGTGAGTGGGTGGTTGGGTGGGTGAGTGGGTGGGTGGGTGAGTGTGTGGGTGAGTGGGTGGGTGGGTGGGTGAGTGGGTGAGTGAGTGGGTGGGTGGGTGAGTGGGTGGGTGAGTGGGTGGGTGAGTGGGTGGGTGGGTGGGTGAGTGGGTGGGTGAGTGGGTGAGTGAGTGGGTGGGTGGGTGAGTGGGTGGGTGAGTGGGTGGGTGAGTGGGTGGGTGAGTGGGTGGGTGAGTGGGTGAGTGGGTGGGTGTGTGGGTGGGTGAGTGGGTGGGTGAGTGGGTGAGTGAGTGAGTGGGTGGGTGGGTGAGTGGGTGAATGGGTGAGTGAGTGGGTGAGTGGGTGAGTGGGTGGGTGAGTGGGTGAGTGGGTGGGTGGGTGAGTGGGCGAGTGGGTGGGTGAGTGAGTGGGTGAGTGGGTGGGTGAGTGGGTGAGTGAGTGGGTGGGTGGGTGGGTGAGTGGGTGGGTGGGTGAGTGGGTGGGTGAGTGGGTGGGTGAGTGGATGGGTGAGTGGGTGGGTGAGTGGGTGGGTGAGTGGGTGAGTGAGTGGGAGAGTGGGTGGGTGAGTGGGTGGGTGAGTGGGTGGGTGAGTGAGTGGGTGGGTGAGTGAGTGAGTGGGTGAGTGAGTGGGTGAGTGAGTGAGTGGGTGAGTGAGTGGGAGAGTGAGTGAGTGGGTGGGTGAGTGGGTGGGTGAGTGGGAGAGTGGGGGGTGAGTGGGTGGGTGAGTGGGTGGGTGAGTGAGTGGGTGGGTGAGTGGGTGAGTGAGTGAGTGAGTGGGTGAGTAAGTGAGTGGGTGAGTGGGTGGGTGAGTGAGTGGGTGAGTAAGTGGGTGGGTGAGTGAGTGGGTGAGTGAGTGAGTGGTGGGTGGGTGAGTGGGTGAGTGGGTGGGTGAGTGAGTAGGTGAGTGAGTCAGTGAGTAGGTGAGTGAGTGGGTGGGTGAGTGAGTGAGTGGGTGAGTGAATGAGTGGGTGAGTGAGTGGGTGAGTGGGTGAGTGAGTGGGTGAGTGAGTGAGTGGGTGAGTGAGTGGGTGGGTGAGTGAGTGGGTGAGTGAGTAGGTGAGTGAGTGGGTGAGTGAGTGGGTGAGTGAGTGGGTGAGTGAGTGAGTGGGTGAGTGGGTGAGGCAGTCGCCCTCCAACAACAACGGAGGGCAGAGGAGCGACGCTCACAACAACGAGCGGAGCGCCGGGCGGCTAAAATGGAGCAAGTTGGCACAGCAGGGGGCACAGGTGGTGCACCTAGCCTGGCACACTAGGGGGCACAGGTGGTGCATCAGCCAGTCATCTCAGTCAGGCGACCCATGGCACCTGCTGGGTCTGTCCCGTGACCTCCTCATGCACCTAGCCTGGCACCTGCAGGGTCTGTCCTGTGACCTCCTCATGCACCTAGCCTGGCACCTGCAGGGTCTGTCCCGTGACCTCCTCATGCACCTAGCCTGGCACCTGCAGGGTCTGTCCCGTGACCTCCTCATGCACCTAGCCTGGCACAGGCGTCGTGGTGACGTCGCCACCGCTTAGTGGCGCATGGCGGTTGTGGTGTCAGTGGCGATGGTGATGATGGTGATGGTGGTGATAGTGATGATGATGATGGTCATGGTGGTGGTGGTGTTGATGATGTTGGTGATGGTGGTGATGGTGATGATGTTGGTGATGGTGATGATGATGGTCATGGTGGTGGTGGTGATGATGGTGGTGATGATGGTGATGATGGTGGTGATGATGGTGATGATGTTGGTGATGGTGATGATGGTCATGGTGGTGGTGGTGTTGATGATGTTGGTGATGGTGATGATGGTAATGATAGTGATGATGGTGGTGATGGTGATGATGGTAATGATAGTGATGATGATGGTGATGATGGTGGTGATGGTGATGGTGGTAGTGATGGTGATGGTGGTAGTGATGGTGGTAATGGTCGTGATGGTGGTGATGGTGGTGATGGTGATGATGGTGATGGTGGTGATGGTGATGATGGTGATGATGGTAGTGATGGTGATGATGGTAGTGATGGTGATGATGGTAGTGATGGTGATGATGGTAGTGATGGTGATGATGGTAGTGATAACACACGTGGTAGTGATGGTGATGGTAGTGATGGTGATGATGGTAGTGATGGTAGTGATGGTGATGATGGTAGTGATGGTGATGATGGTGATGATGATAGTGATGGTGATTATGGTAGTGATGACACACGTGGTAGTGATGGTGGTGATGGTAGTGATGGTGATGGTAGTGATGGTGATGGTAGTGATAGTGATGGTAGTGATAGTGATGATAGTGATGGTGGTAATGGTGGTGATGGTAGTAATAGTAGTGATGGTAGTGATAGTGATGGTAGTGATGGTGGTAATGGTGGTGATGGTAGTGATGTTTATGGTAGTGATAGTGATGGTAGTGATGGTGATGGTAGTGATGGTAGTGATAGTGATGGTAGTAATAGTGATGGTAGTGATAGTGATGGTAGTGATAGTGATGGTAGTGATGGTAGTAATAGTGATGGTAGTGATGGTGGTAATGGTAGTGATGGTAGTGATGGTGGTAATGGTAGTGATGGTAGTGATGGTGGTGATGGTAGTGATGGTGATGGTAGTGATGGTGATGGTAGTGATGGTGATGGTAGTGATGGTGATGGTGGTAATGGTGGTGATGGTGGTAATGGTGGTGATGGTAGTGATGTTTATGGTAGTGATAGTGATGGTAGTGATAGTGATGGTAGTGATGGTGATGGTAGTGATGGTAGTAATAGTGATGGTAGTGATAGTGATGGTAGTGATAGTGAGGGTAGTGATGGTGGTAATGGTAGGGATGGTAGTGATGGTGGTGATGGTAGTGATGGTGATGGTAGTGATGGTGATGGTAGTGATGGTGGTGATGGTAGTGATGGTGGTGATGGTAGTGATGGTAGTAATGGTAGTGATGGTAGTGATAGTGATGGTAGTGATGTTAATAGTAGTGATGGTAGTAATGGTAGTGATGGTAGTGATAGTGATGGTAGTGATGGTAGTAATGGTGGTGATGGTAGTGATAGTGATGGTAGTGATGGTGGTAATGGTAGTGATAGTAATAGTAGTGATGGTAGTGATAGTGATGGTAGTGATAGTGATGGTAGTGATAGTGATGGTGATAGTAGTGATGGTAGTGGTAGTGATGGTAGTGGTAGTGATGGTAGTGATGGTGATGATAGTGATAGTAATAGTAGTGATGATAGTGATGGTAGTGATGGTGATGGTAGTGATGGTGGTAGTGATAGTAGTGATGGTAGTGATGGTGATAGTGATGGTAGTGATAGTAATAGTAGTGATGGTAGTGATAGTAATAGTAGTGATGGTGATGGTAGTGATGGTGGTAATGGTAGTAATAGTAGTGATGGTAGTGATGGTGGTAGTGATGGTAGTGATAGCAATAGTAGTGATGGTAGTGATAGTGATGGTAGTGATAGTAGTGATGGTGGTAATGGTAGTGATAGTAGTGATGGTAGTGATGGTGATAGTGATGGTAGTGATAGTAATAGTAGTGATGGTAGTGATAGTAATAGTATTGATGGTAGTGATAGTAATAGTAGTGATGGTAGTGATAGTAATAGTAGTGATGGTAGTGATAGTAATAGTAGTGATGGTAGTGATAGTAATAGTAGTGATGGTAGTGATAGTGATGGTAGTGATGGTGGTAATGGTGATGGTAGTGGTAGTGATGGTGGTAATGGTGATGGTGGTGATTGACACACGTGGTGGTGATCACTTCTGCTGATAATCACCATCCTGATGATGATGTTGACGTTGTGAACGATGCCTTAGAAGAAGAAGACGACGAAGATGATGATCGCGGCGAAGTTTATAACCGCGCAGCCGACTTATTTTGCAAATTAATTATTCTTAATATTGACCAACCCCCCCCCCCGCCCCCGTGCGGCCTTGTCAGCCCTACCGGGGCACCCTCGCCAAAGCGGGCAGAGACAACTAGCCGAGGGGGCCCAGTACCGTCGAGCGTCGCCCGCTCTTTCACAGCCCTCGGGACTCCCCCCACCCGTCTCGGCTCACCTGGGCTGGGCGTGAAGACGCAGTCCAGGGCGTGCACGAGAGACGCCATAGCCGTGGTGGTTGTGGTGGTGGTGGCTGTGGTGGTGGTGGCGGTGGTGGATCGAGCGGATGAGTTGACAGCTGAGGGAGGTTGGAGGTGGTGGTGGTGTTGGTGGCTCCTCCCACAATAATCGGGGGAGGAGTTACGGAGAGAAGGGGGAGGAGCTACAAAATAGGAGGTGGTGGCTCCTCCCATATTCACGGGGGAGGAATTGCGGAGAGAAGGGGGAGGAGTTACGGAGAGAAGGGGGGAGTTAGATAGAGAAGGGGAAGAGTTAGAGAGAAGGGGGAGGAGTTACAAAGAGGTTTTTGTGGTGGTGGTGGTTGTGGTGGTGGTGGATCGAGCGGATGAGTTGACAGCTGAGGGAGGTTGGAGGTGGTGGTGGTGTTGGTGGCTCCTCCCACAATCATCGGGGGAGGAGTTACGGAGAGAAGAGGGAGGAGCTACAAAAGAGGAGGTGGTGGCTCCTCCCATATTCACGGGGGAGGAATTACGGAGAGAAGGGGGAGGAGTTACGGAGAGAAGGGGGAGGAGTTACAGAGAGAAGGAGGAGGAGTTACGGAGAGAAGGGGGAGGAGCCACAAAAGAGGAGGTGGTGGCTCCTCCCATATTCACGGAGGAGGAGTTACGGAGAGAAGGGGGGGAGTTACGGAGAGAAGGGGGAGGATTTACGGGGAGAAGGGGGAGGAGTTACAAAGAGGAGGTGGTGGCTCCTCCCACATTCACGAGGGAGGAGTTACGTAGAGAAAGGGGAGGAGTTACAGAGAGAAGGGGGAGGAGTTACGGAGAGAAGGGGGAGGAGTTACAAAGAGGAGTTGGTGGCTCCTCCCACATTCACGAGGGAGGAGTTACGTAGAGAAAGGGGAGGAGTTACGTAGGGAAGGGGGAGGAGTTTGAGTTATGGTCGAAACGTCGTGAGAATTTTTTATTGTTTTATATATATTTTGTTATTTTGTTGTTTCTCTTCAACGTGACTTTACCGAAAAAACTAAGAATATGAATTACTGCAGTCACGAAAGCTTTAAATCAAAATTTAGAAGGGGAGGAGTTAGAGAGAAGGGGAGGCGTTACAAAGAGGTTTTTGTGGTTGTGGTGGAGGTGGTGGTGGGTCGAGCTGATGAGTTGACAGCTGAGGGAGGTTGGAGGAGGTGGTGGTGGCTCCTCCCACATTCACGGGGGAGGAGTTACAGCCAGAAAGGGGAGGAGTTACGGAGAGAAGGGGGAGGATTTACGGAGAGAAGGGGGAGGAGTTTCAGTTTCACTTTCTTTAGTTTATTAATTTTTGGTATAGCCCTGTGAGCCATTCGGCTCTTGAATCGGGTGCAACCACAACAAAAACAAGAACACGGACAAGGGAAACATCTTAAAGTGACTTTGTGTTGACTGTGCGAACAGAAAATCCATGAAAAAGACATCAAAATATTCCTGAAAAAAGCAGCGTACACCAACGCAAAAAATCCCAGTGGGATTCAAGTCAAACAACAACAACAACCACAAGACAACTAAGATTAAGGCCATCAGTCTAACTCCGTTACTACAACGAGCAAAAACGTGTCCAAACCAAAAAAACGTTTTCGAAATCACCAAAAAATAAAGCCATAATTGCAACGTAATGGTGATAACTGGTACTGTGACCGAAATGTTTAACAATAAACTACATAAACAACATCTAACACCAAATTCTAGAGCCACAGCTGGCTGCATGAGTCACTCCACAACAGCAGGAGCAGCGGTCGGAGTATCACATTCTTCAATGCACCTTTAAGATCAGCACGCTCAATCAAAATACAGACATCTTCTTTGGTTCTTTCGGTAAAGTCACCACGTAGAATGAGAATAAAATAATAAATTGATAAAATAAAATAACACAATAATATTCTCACGACGTTTCGGCCACAACACAAGCGGCCTTCATCAGGTGAAGGGACGAGACTGTCTGGTAGGACAGCGCTGGAGTGAAAAAAGCCACGCTCAGATCGCGGCCTTTAAGCTGTGTGAGAGGAACAAAGCGCCTTGACAAAGGAATTAGCATAGAATTTAGCATTGAAATGGCCGAGTGATTAGCTTGTGACTGGTCACAGAAATGGCTATGTTAAAGTTAAAGCATATACATTCACAGAGGCACCCCTTGACAAAGGAATTAGCATAGAATTTAGCATTGAAATGGCCGAGTGATTAGCTTGTAACTGGTCACAGAAATAGTTATGTTTAAAGTCAGAGCATACACATTCACCGAGGCACCTAGTACAAATACAGATAGTCAAAATACAGATAATACTTTGCAGCGTCATCCGGGGCGAAAACATTTCATTTTATTTTACGCCAATGAATATCAGTGGCAGCTGGGGGTATACAACTCCTCTAGAGCATGAACTATTAAAGCTTTCGTGGCTGCATAAAATGACTCATTCGTTTTTTTCGGTAAAGTCGCGTGTGTAGAAATGCAATAAAATCACGTTAAAACAGAGAACAATCACGACGTTTCGATCAAACGCAAGCGATCTTCATCAGGTGTCAAGAACGGAGGTTGAACACGAAGTTAAACACTCTTGTGAATTCGTGGTCTGCCAGGAAGTGTCTAACTGTGTCGTTGGCCTGACTGGTTGTGCTTCACATAATGTTTTTTCAGGTTTGTTGAATTCTCGTCTCTAATCTTCTTGTGTTTGTATTTACCTCCATGATTTGTTCTTGACACCTGATGAAGATCGCTTGCGTTGTGATCCAAACGTCGTGATTGTTCTTTGTTTTAACATCATTTTATTGTATTTCTACATGCGTGACTTTACCGAAAAAAGCAATGGGTAACTTTATGCAGTCACGAAAGCTTCGATACTTTATTATCACACTTCTACGGGGAAGTTACCGTTGTAATTACGTGTAAGATGTGCCCCTTTTTTGAGCTGCCGTTTTGTATTCACAAGAGGTGGTCCTTTTTTGAGCTGCCGTTTTGTATTTACAAGAGGTGGTCCTTTTTTGAGCTGCCGTTTTGTATTTACAAGAGGTGGTCCTTTTTTGAGCTGCCGTTTTGTATTCACATGAGGTGGTGGTCCTTTTATGAGCTGCCGTTTTGTATGTGTAAGATGTTGCGTGTTTGAGCTGCCGCTCTCGCTCTGGCCCCTCCAACCGTATTTCATATTTAAGCTTCTGTTCATCCCTCAGGCCCCCCTCTCTCTCTCTCTGCCTCCCTGTCCGTCTTTCCTCCCTCCTTACCTCTTGGTGGACTTGTATATGTATTTATACCGACCGTGTACCTCGTATTTTTCATTCTATCTATGCTGGTATGTGCAATCCAAAGGTCGAACACGAAATGTAACACTCCTCTGAAATTCGTGGTCTATCAGGAAGTGTCTAACTGTGTCGTTGGCCTGACTGGTTGTGCTTCACATAATGTTTTTTCAGGTTTGTTGAATTCTCGTCTCTCATCTTTTTGTTGTATCTACCTTCGTGATTTGTTCTTGACGCCTGATGAAGATCGCTTGCGTTGTGATCCAAACGTCGTGATTGTTTCTTTGTTTTAACATAAATGTATTGTACTCTTTGGTTCTATTGGGTAAAGTCACGTAGGTGAAAATAAAATAACAAAAAATCACGACGTTTCGGCCACAACACAAGCGGCCTTCATCAGGTGAAGGGACGAGACTGTCTGGTAGGACAGCGCTGGAGTGGGAGAAGCCACGCTTAGATCACGACCTTTAAGCTGTGAGAAGAAAAAGACCAAGCGCCTTGACAAAGGAATTAGCATAGAATTTAGCATTGAAATGGCTCATTGAAATAGCTAAGTTAAAGTATACACATCCGCAGAGGCACCCCTTGACAAAGGAATTAGCATAGAATTTAGCATTGAAATAGCTGAGTGATTAGCTTGTAACTGGTCACAGAAATAGCTATGTTAAAGTTAAAGTATACACATCCGCAGAGGCACCCCTTGACAAAGGAATTAGCATAGAATTTAGCATTGAAATAGCTGAGTGATTAGCTTGTAACTGGTCACAGAAATAGCTATGTTAAAGTTAAAGTATACACATCCGCAGAGGCACCCCTTGACAAAGGAATTAGCATAGAATTTAGCATTGAAATAGCTGAGTGATTAGCTTTATAACTGGTCACAGAAATAGCTATGTTAAAGTCAGAGCATATACATTCACCGAGGCACCTAGTACTCATCAAACAGGAGAATTTAGCGAAACACAACCACGCTCATAATTTTATTGTATTTCTATACACGTGACTTTACCGAAAAAAACAACGAGTCCTCTAGAGCAGTTTTGAGAGAAGATCTCATTGGTCGAGATTCAAGTTGCAGTTTATTGGCAATAGCATTCCAGACCCTGGGGGCATCAATAGCAAAAGGCCCTTCCTCCGGTTTTAGTACGGCAATAGGGGAATGTGAAGCTGGTGAATGAGCGAAGACCTGAGGTCAAATTTGTTCTCTGAAACAGAGAGGAGATCCAGCAGCAGGTAGTCTGCGGATTTTTGTTGTAAGTACATCGTTGAATAAATAAGAGCTGGTGCATAAGCCGTCGAACATTCAGAGATGTTAAGTTTGACCCAATGTAGAGATCACAGTGGTGAGTCCTATATGGGCAGTCCAATGCAAATCTTAAGGCCGAGTGATAGATGGAATCAAGCTTCTTCAGTACAGTACTTGTGGCTGATTTATACACGATGTCACAGTAGTCAAGTGGAGGCAGTATGGTAGCTTTGATCAATTCCAAACGGAACATTGGGGGGAAGCAATGCTTGTGTCGATACAGAAAACCAATTTTTATTTTTGTCTTTTTACCAATATAATCAATGTGATCTTCAAAATTAAGTTTTGAATCCAGGATGACCCCAAGATACTTATAGATCTTGACTTGCTCTATTTGATAATTATTTAAGGAATGTAATTGGGGAAAAAATTACTTCCTGCTTTAGTCCCGGTGAGAAGCATAGCACCTTGGTTTTGGAGGTATTCAGGGCAACTAGCTGATGTTGAGAGTTTGTTGAAATCACCCTGGAGCTTAGCAATCACGTCATCCGGAGAGCGGCCAGCGGTGATCAGTATCGTGTCATCTGCAAAAAGATTTACCCTGGAATGATCCAGGTCAGCACCCAAGTCATTGACGTAAAGAGAGAACAAGAGGGGGCCGAGGATGGAACCCTGTGGAAC